AACACTGTTGTAACCGTACCACAGCGTTCTGATAAGATTGAGTTGAGAGTGGCGGTGTGTTTAGTATATTCTGGAAGCTTCTAGAACAGCATATGGCCATATGAAGCGGAGCCTAATGTAGCACGCCAGATACATTTCTTGACACTTATTGAGGTTACAAAATTGGGGCGGGTCCGTGCTGTATCATCGCGCATGACATCACACAGAGCGGATGTGGGAAGATCAATCTATTATATTTCCTTCTGCCTAGATATCCTACTGCCTGCTTGACCACTGTTGATGTGAGGTGAATGTGTCATCACTGACTTTAGGATAGTTTTGTTCTACCATTGTGATTACATTGCAGTCATTTGCATTACTTTATAAATATATTCGTTTCTGTTTAGATTTTCATTTTAATTATCTCAACTTGGGAATCTATATGCAACATAGGAGAGTAGGTTCCCGCATTACAACAATGTCGTACCGTTTGATCATGTAGTAACCAATGAGGATGACGTCAACAATAAATGCCATGGAAACGCACACCGCAAGCAGGATTTCACTGGAATCTAGAAACAAACGCATCATTGGTCGCATTCATTTTGTCCGCAAGCTGATTATGATAGGAATACATCATGAAGGGGCAAGTATTAGCCCAGACACGTCGTGTGTAAATAATAAAGAAGTTGCACATCCATATCAAGTGTCTTGTATTACCCATGGGGCAAGTATTAGCCCAGACACGTCGTGTGTAAATAATAAAGAAGTTGTACATCCAAATCAAGTGTCTTGTATTACCCTACAAACTTCTAAATGCCCATCAAGCAACAAACGTACATGCTGCACGTCCAACTTCAGATGTCAATAAAAGTCGAACTGTGATTATAATTAGCAAGTGTGCGTCGCTCGGAACAATCGGGTGAAGTTACACGACGCATAAGAAACCAAGGTCGACCATGCCGCATGCGGTTAAACCAACCCTGGGTTACGGTTACCTATAGAACCTTCACTTTAGATTACAACAAGGCACCGACACAATCTGATGCTGTCATACTTACTCATTGCAGCAGTGTTTTGGACAGTCGACGATGGAAGTGCTGTGTCGGGGGACACACTGAAGTGTGGCAATATCAATAATAAGATGCCTGTTTATGTCTTTCATGCATATACTTGTGGTCTAAAACCGTCCAATGTCCCAAGTCGTTTCTTCTCCCTGTAGACCATCAATATTATTAAAATGAGCGTATTGCCACGCCAAACTTCTAAACACATGCCAAAACAGAACAAGACGTAAGCTACAAACTCCTTGGTGAATATTGCATAAAGTCCTGGATGGCGGATCCTTACTTTACTGAAGAGATGTGACGTGATCGCAAAAGGATTAAGACCATCCACAGAATTCTAGAGTTTTATCCAATTGCAGAACCTGATGCTGTCCAACGATATAATCATTACATTATCAGATTACGCGAAGTACGAACACGCACCATGTAAATTTTGTTTACTCACGGAGCAGTGCACTGGTGCAGGTCCTGTCGTGTTACCAGCTTCAGTGTGTGTGCCTTGCTATATTCTGTTGAAACTTCCGTGTTTATAATCCGGTTGTAACTCCACTCTAAGTAGTTCCCGGCAATTTATCATTTGTATGTCATCGTGCATTTTAAATTTCAAATCTGTTCAATTAGTGAATAATCTTAAATGATGCCCACCAGATATCCATAATATACATCTCACTGGATAGTACATATGAGGTGTCAAGACTATCTCTACAAGATTAAACACGTCGACCTCAATGCCCCCCAGTGGTCCAAAGGACGGAATCCTGCCTTCAGGGGGAAGCTCGGTACCGGGGTTACGTGAAGGATGGTATTTGATGTTACCCTGCCTGGCTCTATGTACTCAGCGGATAAAACAACCACCGGTCGGCTCGGAGTCAGATCGACATGTCTGATGTGGTAACCGTATTCATGTTAGAAGTGTGATTCCGTGAGGTTGACATAAACAACCAACATTATTCTGTATTTGTTCAAGTAGCCACACACGCCCGCACACGCACAATCACACGCACGCACACACATATTTACAAATTTACAGAGTCACATCACAAAATGCGTGTTCTAATATTGTATCACACACACGTCCATACACACAAATACTCACTGACACACGCACACAGTCTCACAGAGAGAGAGAGAGAGAAAGAGAGAGACAGACAGACAGATAGACAGAGTCACGACTGCAGCGATATTGTATCGACTATAATATACCCCATTTCACCTCAGCCTCAAGTTGATGACATACAGATAGTCACCCAGAACCCAGCCCAACAACAAGACATACGAAGCTACTTTCTGTGTCCGCTGGTGGAGTATCTTGACTGACCAGAACACGTCAGAAAGTACTCCAGTGAAAATACCTCTTTTGAACTGAAATGTTTCTGTTTCCAAATTTCACGCATTTGGTCCCGCAATGTAGTCCCCGTGTCGACTTTTACAATAAACATGTTCCTTTTTTCCTAGTTCTTTCTGGACAAATAGTTGCCTTCACTAAGATATGTTCACGTGGACGCGTCACATGTCTGTCTCTGTACAGCGTTGTAGGCGATTCAGCTATGGTGCATGGTTCGTAGAGTTGGCAGCAAATGTATTTAGTTCATAAGTGCTTACTTTGAAAGCATTGGACAACCAACAAACAAAGGTACGTGTGTTATATACACTGTATTAGACGGGATATAGTGTCAACGCACAGTCTGACGTAACACACAATACACTCATATGACTGAGCTCGGGGATGCCTCAAAAGACTACATCGGAGTAGGTGGTAGAACAATAAAACTCATACCATTTGTTCAGCATGTATTCGCTATTCCCTTTTCATGTGTATATCATTCTTAACAGTTTGTAAATTCCAATTCTTAACCTTAGAAATCATATGTATATTTTGTCTCATCGAACACAAGAAACAACAAAGAACGGCTGCAGGTATACATTATGCTGACGAGTTGAGATGTAGGGAGGTATGGTTGACTGTACAACCACAGGTCTGTTCATTCTAAAACAAATGTAAATACAATCGGATCCTTCCTGGCGGTAGGGAAGGGAATCCAGCACGTCGTCAGTAGCCTCTGTCCACATCAACCACGTACTCCAGTGGTTCGTTGTTAACATAGCGGCGATATTGTTTCACAAATAGCTCGGCTCTCTGTAACAGAATAACGCCTCAATAGTCACAGGTAAAGAGCAGTGATTATTTCGGAAGAACTGGCAAGGTCTACGACTGAACTCCTGTGAGCAGTATCTCAGTTACATCACATAGTTTCAACTAAATATAAACGATGCATTTCTGAAACGCGTATACGACAGGTGTAATTTAATATTTGTGACATGGAGCCAACAGACCAACACTATTAATACTTAACCCTGTACCTGCGTACCCCGCTGATTGACAATTGGTGTTCCAGTTTGCTCGCCAGCAACAAGGACGCTTCATTGTAAATTATGATAATCGTTATATTCCATCATGGTGGATGTTGTAGATGATCAAGATCCAGACCAGAGAGGATCGTTACAAGGATTATCCAGAGCCTTCATAAATACACCTAGACATTATTCGTTAGGGGATCTTAGAAGATCAATAGCTACTACTCCAAACTGCTCACATCAAGCCATTCTGAAAAAAAAACATTGTGACGAGTAGCGAGGTTCTAGGGTTATCTTGTGTCGAATGAGCCAGTTGTGTGTAAATGTACAGCGCAATACATATGCCATCTTACATCTTCCTGGTACCCAGGGTACAGTATCAGACCACCGGAGATGTGGGGTGTGATGATGACCCCTGGCTCGCTCCACAGGGGGCTACTGGCAGGCAGCGGCTCGGGGTTGTGGACATCTAGTGCAGCGTACTGTAACCACTTGTTCCTACGAAAGAACGTACATTTAAACTATCTATATTTTTAACATAATGCGTTAATGTACACATGAGAATTCTTGCCTTTGTCTTGCGATAAAGCAGACGTCAGACAGCAATATATATACAAGCTCAAGTTTCACGATTGAGTCACACAAATTACGTCTCACATTGTCGGAATCAATACCATGCTGTGTTGACACCCTAACAATTTATTCGTGACTTCGGTCCTTCAGCCGTCGTATACAATGTTTAGGTCAGTTATATTCTAAGTAATCCGTAGTGACTCGGGATAAGACTATAGATAGGTGTCAATGTGGATGGGAGGTCAGACGCAGTCATTTGATCAATCGAAATGAAGTTCTGTACGAATCAAGCACATGTCAGTCACTGGAATGACAGGGTTCCAAACTATTTATTACATACCGCATACCTGTATATACCTGGTGCAACAGCAAATAGGTAAACAAAAACCAATACTAACCTGAGTGCTTTCAGGATACTTTCTTCATCCGTCACATCTCCCCGTCCAACGTTGATGAAGGTAGTCTTCTGGAAATGGAAAATTGTGTCACAAAATCAGCTTCACATACGGGTCAAGTCTTGCAGGTCATTATAATGTTCCATCCGTCTACAACTATCATTCAACTCACTCACATGTTCCATGTTCACATTATCTTAACTACAGCTCCTGAAAGCCACCCGAACTTGTGTGGCCAAAATACGACGTGTACCTTATTTTTGCAGTAAGAGAATGCATCTCCCGACAACAAGCCCCGAGTCTGTTCCGTCGATGGTAGTATGCTGACGATATAGTCACATTCAGACAGGATTTCATGTAACGAACTCTCTGTCCTGTGGAATAAACATTATGTACATCTGTGTAATAAATGCGACCAATAACACATTAAGAAATAAGCATACTTTGGAATGTTCTAATAATTGTAGGAAGTTTGCCAGACTACCCGGCATCTTAACACCGCTGTAACAGGAATGTGCAGAGTATACCTGTACTCGTCAACATACGGGGACTTCTTATCTTCTTTTACTTCAGTCCGGGTCATGCCCCATACCTTCATCCCAAAGAACTTGCACGTTCTGGCGGCTGACAAAAACAGACAGGAGGGAACAATGTTTAATATTAGCATAAACGCCAAGGACGAACATATTTGTACCAACAAGATATACATATACCTACCTTCACGTCCAATACAGCCCAGTCCTAGTATCCCAACTGATGTCAGTGACAGAGGCTTGGAATGAATGCTCTCTCTGAAATGAGAATGAATACATATATGTGAAGTACAGCGTATCACATTATTACTCATCCATTGCAATGGTTATGTGGCAGTGTTATTCAGTGTAACACCGTGCTGTAATTGCTGTACATTGTTTCCCTTTAGGTTATCAGAGGGCTGTGGTGTACTGGTTCCAATACTGGGGATCAACACATATCTGGACGCTTCTCGGGCACCTGGGTAAAAACCCATAGTCTCTCAATTCTCTTATTTCGGTACAGTGGTGTGGGCCATCAACCCTATGTACAACATGGTCCATACATTATAAGGGAACTTATGCAGGTACAGCAAGTCCATGTGATGATACAATCGATTTTGCAAGGTACTTATACAGGTGTATCCAGGCATGGAAGATTTAACAGTCCACGAACAGTGATGCATAATTTTACTCATGCATAATTTTACAAGGCACTATACAAGTGCCTCAATGCTTGGAAGATATACCAATCCACATACAGTGCTATATAGTTCTACAAGGTAATTATACCAGATTTTTAATGCAAAGACTTGAGGCCTAGAGGATATAACAGTCCATATCCAATGCTACATGTTACAATGATACCTTTACAAGAACATAGAGACGTGGAAAATAGGACGGCCCATATCCAGTAATGCATGGATTTAACAAAGTACAGATGTCTCATGGTATGAAAATAGTGGTTTTACACGGTATATAAACAGGTACTTAAAAGCGGAGATTTGCAGCATAGAAAATATGGCAGACCATATACAAGAGGCACGGAAGATATAACAGTCCATGTACAGTGATGCATAATTCTTCAGGGCACCTATACAAGTGCCTCAATGCTTGGAAGATATACCAATCCATATACAGTGCTATAGTTTTACAAGGTGATTATACAAGAGCTTTAAGGCAGAAACTCGAGGCCTAGAGGATATAACAGTCCATATCCAACGCTACATGTTATAATGATACCTATACAAGAACATCTAGACATGGAAAATAGGACGGCCCATATCCAGTAATGCATGGGTTTAACAAAGTACAGATGTCTCATGGTATGGAGATAATAGTTTTACACGGTATGTAATCAAGTGCTTGAAAGCAGAGATTTGCAGCATAGGATATATAACAGACCACTTTCAACGATACATAGTTATACCAAGCGCTTGTACAAGTGCTTCAAGACATGGAAGACCCAGCATTCCTTATACACATAATCATTAAATTTACGAAGTACTTATACAATGTGTTAAAGAGGAGATTTAAGGGATAGAAAATATTCCTGTCTAAATAATATGATACATAATAGTACAAGGTACTCGTAATAGAACAGCAAGGGACAAGGATGATATACCAGTCCCCATACAGTAATACATGCTTTTACAAGGTACTTATACTATACAAGGGCTTTGAGGCGAAGATTGGAGGCATGGAAGACGTAGCAGGCCAGATTTCTAATGACAGATTCTTGTTGAGAAGACATAAGTAAATTGAACTTTGTCAGAGTTGGAAATTCAAAATATTTAAGAGGTATATATACTGAGAGAAACAAATAAAGGATCACAGGAAAATGCAAGCGTTCCTTTAATATTTTCCAGTTTTCACCACCAGCTTTGAGTAGCGCTGTGGTGATGAAAACTGGAAAATAATAAAGAAACGCTTGCATTTTTCTGTGATCCTTTATTTGTTTCTCTCAGTATATCTCTGGCGGGGATTATCATAGACTTCACAGGTCAGCAAAAAGTGGTATTCAGTCTCCACGTGTCCAGTGTTACAAACTTTGTTTTCATTCCTTGGGATATCGAGATATCTGACAGTTTCAATGGCTAGTTAATGGGAGCTGCAGCGGAACTGTGCAAGTGCAATTCTAAATTTATTTATGGTTATAGCAGAAAGATAAAACACGGGTTGGATAACAGTCTTAAACATAGAATAATTATAATATTTGTGGCTATTAACGATATTGTCGTGCCACTCCTGTTCATAGGTGCATTTTAACCTGTGGGGAAACCCAGCAGTAAAAGAGGTAACATAATCTACATGTTGTCTTTCCAAGATATAGCCAAAACCATGATTATTAAGTAAAGATTTGAGACACCCAGGTTGTCTTCCCATTCGACGACAAAAGCATGTCATAACTCTTTTGGGATAGCGGTTGTCTGGCATACTGATAAGTTTTACCCAATACCTGATGCAGCGTGTATAGGCTGTGATATAGAGGGGGTATCTGCCACATTCCCCTCGCACAACTTCATTAGATGGTCCTGATTTTACACCCAAGACACGTTTACAGGCCAGAACATGGACTGATTCAATTCCTTTACTGACAGATAATCCCCAAACTTCAACACCATACATCAATCAGGATTGGAAGAACCTTGGAGTTGAAAATACTGAAAAAGAATCTCAAAGGCAATGGTATAACTTGTGAAAAAGAGCGTAAGATACCAAAGAGAATCCGTTTTGCTTGTAGAACAATATTATCAATGTGTCTTGACCAGGATAAGCTTTTGGAAAAAAACGACAACTAGATATTTATATGAAGGGAGACATTGCAGCTGGATAGCCTTATAATACCACGTTTCGTGTTTAGACAAAACGCCACCACCTTTAAATACAACAAATTTTGTCTTATCAATATTAATAGCTAGAGAATAGTCATTTCAATATTTTTCGAGAGTATCAATTCTCTTTTGTAACTGGGTGGAGTTGTATACCGTGGTCACACTCCGACTCTATGGCTGAAGCCAGATCATTAATAAACAGACTGAACAATAACGGGCTTAAGATACAACCCTGTTTTAACCCAAAGTCACAGCGGAAAATATCTGAAAAGCTGTTATCATATTTTACACAAGCATATACATTCTTATAACTAAATTGAATACACTTATACAATTTGGGGGATATTCCATTTGTATTCAAGACCGCCCGGAGCTTCCAATGTTTCTATAGCAGTGTATTTTAAACAAGCGTGTAGTGGTCTGGATTTGTGCTGGATGTTAGTCCCAGTCAACCGAGATACCATGCACACGTTTAAAACGTGTTAAAAGTTTTAAAAACAACAGTAACTATTTAGGTATGGGAATAACAGGACGTTTCTTTCCAACTGGCCAGCGTATCTGTTTTGTGAATGGCACGAAGAGGTGTGGTCATAGGTAGCATCACAACGTTCAAATCTTAAAAATATATATACGTAAGAATCTTACCTTTGACTCCTCACTAATGTCATGCAAACATTATTGCGACAAGTCAGTGAATGGGTATATATCCTGGTGAATGTGTGCGACTATGCCAATTCCTGCGCGGCAACGACCCGGCAATGCATACGGCTATTCAACTATTCAAGACAATCAATATTATCTACATAATTACCAAAAACGATCTCATTGATTTTGATAGCATGAGCTCTGATGTTAGGAAACAACGTGGCGTGTAGTTGCAACAAGTCCCTGTGAAGACTATCGAGCGACTATGAACATACCTCTCATACACTGCCCTCTTCTGCTGGTCATACCATTTGTAGTGACCTTTGTTTGTGGTCAGTATCTGACACATGATGTGCTCGGCCAGTGGCTTGGCAAATGACTCTCCGTTGCGGGTGACAATAATATTTTTCTTGACCTACATTACAAGCAGAGAAACTCATTATCTCTGAATGTAGTTGCTGCAGTATAATGTATAACACATCTCCTCCTTGCGCCATCACAGTCGACTGTGAAATCTTCTGGATCAACGGACTAACGTGTCATTCAATTCGACAAGTGGAAATGTCCATTTAATTGTATATTTGGATAATATCATATAAGAACGACAATCATCAATCTCAAATCAGAGTTTCTTTAAGTATCATTTACAAGCTGGTATGATGTAGAGGAAAACATTGTTGTAGGTAGACAACTTCTTTATTGCAGCTGATGCGGCGGTTTGGTGTAGATCCTGTAGATCACGTGCTTGATAACGGTGTGATCTACACCGAAACGTCGAAACGTCGCATCAATTACAATAAAGAAGTTGTTTATCAGTAAAAAAGGTGTTCCTCTTCTCATTACGGAGTGTGGAGGAACAAGACGTTTTATTGTATATTTTGATGTTCAAATCGGTCTTTAAGTAAGTAATACGTATGGTGTTTGATTCATTAATGAATTACCGTATTTTCCGATACAAGATGCAGTATTTTATCCGCACCTGCAACAAAAGGAACACTCATACAAGACCCCTGACGTCATAGAAGTGTAGATTAGGGCGTAGATTATTTAACTGGTCTTAACACTGATACGCGCAACCACATCTGTCATGGACAGATACTCAGCAATCCTTTTCATTATGAATATTATCAACTTCAAAAGTTATTATTATTATATGACGTATATGTATGTTGATGATAGTTTTCAACAATATGAAGTATTAGTCCTGTCATAGATCTGGAAGTTATATCATGACTACACAATTATACCAGCTTGAGGTAACTGAATCCACTTGAGACTGGTGCATAGCGGGATGACGTCAACCATCATTCGAGGCGATCCAAACAGAACCTCAACCTGAGACAAAAACGCCACCTCCTCTTCTTTGGGGTTATCTGTATTTATATAATCAATGTTCAAAAATAAATTCCTGCGTATCAGGTGATTACTGATATAGTTTTTGAAAAGGGTCTTTCCAGAAAATAGGAAAATGCTGTTGATTGGAACTGAATAACAACAAACACGAATTAATTGATGGCTAACATTCATCTGAGCGACAGCACATAACGTTTCGTGACATTCGTTAGGTCAGAGGGTCGTAATGGCTTCAGGTGATTGCACGTTGATATTTACACATCAAAGTTTCATATGTCTTCAAACCTGGATTAAGGTATATCTATGATGTAAAATAATTTTGAATGGATTATAGACACCAGTGTCGTAAACTTATTGTATGCAACAATATCGTTGACTTATTCGTACCTGACAAAGGCTTAGTGAACAGCTGTACATCGGCATCAGGTAGCTCTCTCTTAATTATTTCAAAAAGATCTGTGGTTGGATAGCAGATGGCGACCTTTGGCGATGGCATCGTTCAAGCAGTGCTGAAACAAATCTACGACATTTGATGGAACAACACAATTCGGAAGAAAACGATCATTTCAATACAGCATTCTGTGTGACGGGACATTCAAGTTGGTAAATTTACATTGAGTAGGAGAACTACTTAATGCTTCCTCCACAACAATGACATGACACACAGTGGCATTGGATACGGATATTGGATTGTATCTTCCTGCACAAGGAGAAATACATTTCATTCAATTGAACAAATTTACAATGAGCTGTACGTAGATCATCACTGTCGGAGCATCAGAATTGTGTGTGTTGCCTTCACGTAAACTTCATAACAGCGACAAGGGGAAGATTCTAGCTCAATGACATTAGTGTATCCAGCAACTTGCTGGCCCGTTTGACTGTCTAAGTATCTATAGCCAGTTGCATTTCTGTGTGCGTTTCTCGCCTACATTCTGAACCAGCCAGAGAGGAAGCGAGCGAGCGAAAAAACGATAAAGGAAACATGAATATAAGTTTGTCACAAATTATGTAACGAAAGGTTATGGTGTGAATCGAGTCTTTTTGCATCAGGGACAAAAAGATAAATGGATACAAAAGATAAAGGTAGAAGTATTTTGTATAATATCTGAGCAAACAGTTCCACACCGGCCGAAAGGTAAGCCTGAAATATAGAATGGGTGTTCGCTATATAGTACAGGATATTGTAGTGACATACGTCCACCATATAGAACAGGATACTGTAGAGACATACGTGTCCACCATATAGTACAGGATACTGTAGAGACATAAGAGTCCACTATACAGTACAGGATACTGTAGTGACATACGTGTCCACTATATGGTACAGGATACTGTAGTGACATACGTGTCCGCCATATAGTACAGGATACTGTATAGACATACGTGTTCAATATGTAGTACAGGATATTGTAGTGATATACGTGAACTAAATAGTACAGGATATTGTAGAGATATACGTGAACTATATAGTACAGGATATTGTAGTGACATAAGTGTCCGCTATATAGTACAGGATAATGTAGAGACATAAGTGTCCACCATATAGTACAGGATATTGTAGTGACATACGTCCACTATATAGAACAGGATACTGTAGAGACATACGTGTCCACTCTATAGTACAGGATACTGTAGAGATATACGTGTCCACTATATAGTACAGGATATTGTAGTGACATACGTCCACTATATAGTACAGGATACTGTAGAGACATAAGTGTCCACTATATAGTACAGGATATTGTAGTGACATAAGTGTCCACTATATAGTACAGGATACTGTAGAGATATACGTGTCCACTATATAGTACAGGATATTGTAGTGACATACGTGTCCACTATATAGTACAGGATACTGTAGAGACATACGTGTCCACTATATAGTACAGGATACTGTAGAGACATGTGTTCCGCTAGTAGACAGGATACGTAGTGACATACGTCCACTATATAGTACAGGATACTGTAGAGACATACGTGTCCACTATATAGTACAGGATACTGTAGAGATATACGTGTCCACTATATAGTACAGGATATTGTAGTGACATACATCCACTATATAGTACAGGATACTGTAGAGACATACGTGTCCACTATATAGTACAGGATATTGTAGAGACATACGTGTCCACTATATAGTACAGGATACTGTAGTGACATACGTGTCCACTATATAGTACAGGATACTGTAGAGACATACGTGTCCACTATATAGTACAGGATACTGTAGTGACATACGTGTCCACTATATAGTACAGGATATTGTAGTGACATACGTGTCCACTATATAGTACAGGATAGGATAGTAGAGACATACGTGTCCACTATATAGTACAGGATACTGTAGTGACATACGTGTCCACTATATAGTACAGGATATTGTAGTGACATACGTGTCCACTATATAGTACAGGATACTGTAGTGACATACGTGTCCACTATATAGTACAGGATATTGTAGTGACATACGTGTCCACTATATAGTACAGGATACTGTAGAGACATACGTGTCCACCTATAGTATATATACAGGATGCATGTAGAGATACAGAGACATACGTGTCCACTATATAGTACAGGATACTGTAGTGACATACGTGTCCACTATATAGTACAGGATACTGTAGAGACATACGTGTCCACTATATAGTACAGGATATTGTAGTGACATACGTGTCCACTATATAGTACAGGATACTTGTAGTGACATACGTGTCCACTATATAGTACAGGATACTGTAGAGACATACGTGTCCACTCATACAGTACAGGATACTGTAGAGATCATACGTGTCCACTATATAGTACAGGATACTGTAGAGACATACGTGTCCACTATATAGTACAGGATACTGTAGAGACATACGTGTCCACTATATAGTACAGGATAATGTAGTGACATACGTGTCCACTATATAGTACAGGATACTGTAGTGACATACGTGTCCACTATATAGTACAGGATACTGTAGAGACATACGTGTCCACTATATAGTACAGGATACTGTAGAGACATACGTGTCCAATATATAGTACAAGTTAATGTACATACATACATACATACAAATATTTGTAAAGCGCTTTTTATCAATCTAATTGCTCAAAAGCGCTATCTGAGTCCACTTTATCCATGTGCAGAGGTGAATAGGTGCGTCTTGAGTCCACTTTTAAAATTTGACAGTTCTGTTTCGGAACGAAGGATGGATGGTAAATTGTTCCAGAGGAAGGGTCCTGCTCTAGAGAAAGACCTGTCCCCATATGACTTAGTTCTAGTTTGTGGTATTTCAAGGAGAGACTGGTCCCTTGAGCGGAGTGATCTAGTTGGGTGATATGGTGTAAGGAGATCCGAGAGGTATTTTGGAGCTAGACCGTTTAGACACTTGAAAACAAGGAGCAGGATTTTGTAGTCGATTCTGAAGCGAATTGGAAGCCAATGTAGGGTTTTGAGGGCAGGAGAGATGTGTTCAGTCCTTTTAATTTGACAGATCAATCGTGCGGCTGAATTTTGTGCCTTCTGTAGCCTGTAGAGGACTTGTTTTGGCACACCAGACAGCAAAGAGTTACAATAATCCAAGCGGGATGTTACATATGCTTGAACTAGAGCTTGTGCAGATTTCACATCCAAGTATCGACGGATCAAACCAATGTTGCGCAGATGGAAATAACATTGGCGACAGACATTGCGAACATGGGGTTCCATGCTGAGGGCAGAGTCAAAGATTACACCAAGATTGCGAACATGTGGCCGCATTTTTATTGCAGATTCACCGATGCAAAACTGTGGAAGCAGAAGCTTTTTCTGAAGTCGAAGAGGGTGGAACACAATGAGCTCAGTTTTATCATCATTTAATTTAAGATATTTCGATGACATCCAACTCTTGATACAATCAACACATTCTTCTACTCTTGAAAAGGAGAACTTGGTTGAAGATGCATCAGATGGCTTGAAGGATAAGTAGACTTGCGTGTCATCAGCATAGAGGTGCATACTCAAGTTGTAGGACCTTACAATATCACCGAGGGAAGATGTGTAGCATGTGAAAAGTAGGGGGCCTAGGACGGAGCCCTGAGGCACTCCAAACTTCAAGTACGTTGCCTCTGACCTTTCACCCTGGATGACAACTGCCTGCCTCCGGTCTGTTAAGTAGGAGACAAACCACCTTAATGCAAGATCTTTGACATTGAACCTGTTTTCAAGGGTAGAGAGTAGCACAGAATGGTCAACAGTGTCAAAAGCAGCTGAGAGATCCAGCAATACAAGAATGACCGCTCCATCGGTGTCTATGCCTCTTAGGATGTCGCTCTGAACCTTCAGCAACGCAGTTTCCGTGCTGTGGAAGGATCGGTAGGCAGATTGGCACTCTTCATAGAAGCTGTTTCTGCTCATATGGTCTCTGAATTGAGAAGCAACAATGCGCTCAATCAGCTTAGAAATGAATGTCAAATTGGATATTGGTCTGTAGTGTTTTAACAATTCGTGATCGAGATTCTTCTTCTTTATGAGGGGAGTGATAATTGCTGTCTTCAGTTGATCAGGCATTACACCTTGGCTTAGCGAACTGTTGGTGATATACGTCCAGATAGGAAGAAGAGATTGAATGGTTTGTTTCAAGAGCCACGTTGGTAATGGGTCAAGCAAACATGATTTCGCTGGACATTTGGAGACAAGTTTGGACATTTCATCTTCCGTCACAGATCTAAACGAGGACAAAGGAAGGGAGTTCGTGATTACTGGAACTTTCGCGGCATCATGGTGATATTTGAAGGATTGGCGTATGATGTTGATCTTGTCAGTGAAGAAGCCCGAAAACCGATTAGCCAGTTCATCAATAGATGTGTGAGATGGGAGAACAAGAGAGTTCCGTTTAAACAACAAGCTGTTGGCAATTCTGAACACTTCCTTCTGTCCAGTAGCTGTATTAATGGCATCTTTATAGAAGTCTGATTTTGCAGCCTCAATCAGTGATGCTAATGCATTACACTGTTCACTATGCATCTGTTTGTGGATGGTCAATTTTGTTCTCCTATACTGACGTTCCAGCTTCCGCCTCTGTCTCTTTGCAGCACGGATGTTATCATTATACCATGGAGACTCAGGATGGGTTGTGATGGTACAGGTTTTGACAGGTGCATGTTGGTCTGCTAGCTGTCGGAGCAGTGAATCGTACATGTCCACAGCGTCAGAAACAGACATGCCTTGGTAACTGACACATGCTGTTGATATATCTTCACCGAGAGACTTAATGTCAACGTTTTCCATTTCCGGTACGTGACAACATTCCTCGATCTTTTCTTGACTCTGATGTTCACAGTAAAGATAATACATGTGTGGTCCGACTTGACTGAGTGATCAAAGGTCATGTGTTTTATGTCCAGTTCCTGCTCACGGACGATCACCAGATCAGAATATGGCCCCTAGAATGGGTTGGTTCACTGACAACTTGTATGAGACCATGGGTATCCAGGATATAGAGCAGACGTTTTGCGTTAGCATCTTCAGGATTGTCAATGTGA